GCGCGGTATGCTGCGGTCCCTTCTTATGTGGCTCAGACCCCGGTCTTTCCTCGGGTCCCACTTTAAGAGTTCTTTAGAGCTAACTTTTGGAAGTAGCTCCCACTTGGTGTTTTCAGGTACACCAGGCTGGGTCTCACTGACCTTCCTGAGTACAAGCTCCCACCTGATGTGGTTGCCAGGTTACAGGCCTCACTAGGCCTTCCTGGTTATGAGCTCCCACATACTGTGGTCGCCAGGTTACGAGCTCCCACATACTGTGGTCGTCAGGTTACAGGCCTTACCAGGCCTTCCTGGCCATGAGCTCCCACACACTGTGGTCGCCAGGTTACAGGCCTCAACAGGCCTTCCTGAATTCAGAGTGAAGTACACAAACCCATACTTCACCTATTATTGTGGTAAGTCACCCGACGAGATGTCTTGTGCACTTTTTAAAATCCATTTCTTATGGTGAGGGTCACGCGCGGTATGCTTCGGTCCCTTCTTATGTGGTTCAGACCCCGGTTCTTCATTTTGGGTCCCACTCTAGATGTGTCTTTGTCGCAATACATTACGACAGGCACTTCCCTTTTTCAAGCTATCTCCCACAACTGGTGGTTTTAGGTCTCATTAGACTTTTTTTCGAAGGTCGCCCCACATCGTGGGTCTGTCAGGTTTCTAGCCTCTGGCTTTCCTGAAGATGAGCTTCCACATGCTGTGGTCGTTGGGTTTCAGGCTGCACAATGTACGGCCTTCCTGACATGAGCCCTCATGTTTCGGAGCTCCACACACAGGGGGTCATCAGGTCTTAGGTCTCTTTGACCTTCCTGATTTTGGTCCCTCTCTTACTTCCTCAGTGCTCAAAAGCGAGCACTGGGTGGAAACTCGTGGATTGAGTGTACGATTCCCGTTGTCTTGAGGTTGAGTCACACTATCCGGAGGATCCCGTCTCTGTGATCCGAAACTCGATGGTTTCTGCCAGCTTCGCAGGCCTTCAGTTTTTGGATGCCCTTCCTAGGCAATTTCCAGAGGCTCTGTCTTGGACGGACAGGCTATGGCCAGACTGTGTGTCTTAGTACAGATCACCAGGCCAGCCTGGGGGCATTTCAGGAGGAGTGTTCTCCTGAATAGTGACTGGCTGGGGGTCCCTTTGGCCCCCTAGCCACACTCCCTAGAAGGGACCCCTTCTATTTTGAAGTTGTGGTCCTAAAGCCTTTTGAGCTGGCCCAGATTTACCCATGTTATTATGTTCTGGTTTTTCTTGGTTCATTAGCTTGGGCTATGACCGGTAGGTAGTGCTTTCACTGACAGCCCAATGTGACATAGGGTGAGTTGTTTCAGTGTTCCTTGGAATTACTGGTTCTGACAGTTGTCACTGCCTTTTCGGCATGCACTCCCCTCAGCATGGCGGAGTGGGTATTTCGTTCCCCATTGCGTCATTCGACGTATTGTTGAGTTCCCTTCGAAAGGGAACGTCTCAGGTTATGACTGTAACCTATGTTCCCTGAGAACAGGGAACAAGAACATGCCTCGGGGCCTGCCTGCAACAGTCCCTTCAGACGATAGGATGTTGTCACGGTTTCAAGGCGCCCTTCTTATACATCCAGATTGACGCGCTCATCATTCAAGCTGATGATGCACGGGCTGTCGCCGGTCAACCTGATTACTGTGAGTTGATATTTGATTTCAGACACCTGTCACGCCTGAGGCGTGCCCCATTGCGTCATTCGACGTATTGTCTCGTTCCCTGTTCTCAGGGAACATAGGTTACAGTCGTAACCTGAGACGTTTTTTGTCAGGTCGATGGCCCAGTGAGTGAGTCAGAGATAGCAACACTTAGGACGAGTATGGCTAGTGGTGGCGACCCACAAGAGTTATAGAACCCGCCAGCCTCTTTAAGATTGCAAGTTTGGGAAAACTTAAAGTTACAATTAAATCAAACTAAATTAAACCAACAAGCTTCAATATTACACTGTTAAAATTTTCGTTGTGAATTTACAGTAAATAATTGGATAAATTTTGCATTACTTTCACAGTAAGGATTACAGTAATATAATGTGAAATATGCTCACAGCAATTTACTGTAATTTTATATCTGTGATATTACAGTACATTACTGGGGAATTACAATATATATATATATGAAGAGTTCAGATGCAAAAGCCTCTAAATGCCATTTGAAATTTTCTTCTTTAATAATGATTTTTATCAAACTTTTATATTTAAGTTCAGTAATTTCACCTAAATAACAATTAATAGATAAATATCATTGCCATTAAAGTGAAATTACTGAACTTAAATATACAAGCTTGATAAAAATGATCATTCTAGAAGAAAATTTCAAATGGCACTTAGAGGCTTTTGCATCTGAACTCTTCATATAAACACACACACACAATGTAACCCCCCCCCCCCCCCCCCCCCCACAACAAACAACTCTGAGGTTAAGTCAATGTTAGCCCAATGGCATATTTATTAACACATATGTTTCAATGTACAGCAAGAATTTAAGAAATTAATTTTTTTATAATTTCAACTTTAAGATTGTTTTCATAAAAGCCATTTTAAAATGCAGAAAATGCAGAGACATTGTGCAAACTTTTAACTGTGGAGCCTGACAAATACCACTGCTAAAAAACACTATGACGCCCACTCAAAGTCAATTAGTTTCCTCAATAGGGTGCTAATATGAGGGTTCATTGTGGTCCTCTTCTTGGTCTTCGATCCTCTTTCGGGATTGATGCCCAGAAGCACCTGTTAATAAGCAAAGATAGTTTCAGTTCTTAACACTTTTCACTCGTGTTTGTTGTTCTAACCGAATCCTGGTCCAACGCACAAGGTGTGCACGGATCTACACTTCGGATTCTGACCGGGAATAGTAACGTTAGACCACCCGATAATCTTTGAAACACTTATTTCAACGTGCGATTTGGGACGTAAGTTACTAATTCTGTTTTCGAATACTATTTAGGACGGTTAGTATGTGAATTGGGACGCAGAAATGTAAGTTATTAACTTAAACAGCTAACGGTTAGCCCTGCTAATCTATAATAACATTGACTAAGTACAGAAATGTGCACACATAAATAGTAATGTTTGTCCCATCACTGATTTTATAAACTCTACAAAAACCAGATTTGTCTAAACGGTGATAGACATGAAAATAGCAAAACTCGATCGTCATTACTAACTATTAGTATGCTGTGAGAACTTTCAACAATTCCGGGCAGCTGCTAACAAAATGTGAACTGTGTCATGCGATAAACGTTTATTTGAAAGTAAATATTATCATATTAAAATAAAATGGGTGTAAGTGCTGCAAACATGCATGCTCACCTTCTCCGTTAAGCCCGAAATAGAAGAGGCGGCGGGAGACGACGGAGCCTGCAACAGTTCGGTTATGTCACATGACTTCCCAGGGCATAGGCTACAGTATTTCACTGCAATAATACTGTTTGATGCTGTGAAATCCTTATTTTTTTTCACTGTGTTGCTGTGATATTACAGACCTTGCTGTGACATAACAGCAGGTTTTAAATTGCAATGTTTTATTGTAAAATAAGAGTTAAATGCTGTAAAATCCAAGGATATTGTAGTTTTTTCAGGTATTCATTGGGATATTACAGGGAAATGTAATCACAACAAGTTACTGTGAAATAATACTGTTAATTATTGTGAAATGCTGGTAATTTTTAACAGTGTAGGGTTACTCACTTGCGTGCGCAAATCTGAAAAATTAATCTAAAAACATTTCTATATAATTTCTAGCCGTTAGACTAACTGTAACTCTAGGCTTGGAGTCCCTTTTATGACATCATGCCCAGCTTAGTGGAAGGGAAAAGAGTAAAAAAGTACCAACTTTTCATATTATACCCATTATTTTTGTAAAAAAAAACAAAACAAAAAAACGCGGCGGTTCTTATCATTGTTTAGTAAGCACATTTTATTATCTTCATTAAAAATGTGACCTGCAATTTACACTTTAATAGTTCTCACTATTGCAGAAACATGGGATTTTTGCCTATAATGTTTTTCAACATAATTGCAAGATCAGTGTACCTTATTCATGGGAAGTTTCCGGGATGTATAATTCATTTATAAACATACATAAATTACTGTTATTTTATAGCAGTTGTCTGTTAGTTCTGGGGTAATTTATCTCCATTCATATTTTTTTCTTTGAATTATATAGTTTACTTAGAACATTTGAAAATTTGATTTTTTTTTCTTTCCTTTCAGACCTGATGGAAGTGAAGGAGGAGAGAGAAGAACTGAGAGAAGTGAAGGAGGAGAGAGAAGAACTGATGGAAGTGAAGGAGGAGAGAGAAGAACTGATGGAAGTGAAGGAGGAGAGAGAAGAACTGAGTGAAGTGAAGGAGGAAAGAGAAGAACTGAGTGAAGTGAAGGAGGAGAGAGAAGAACTGAGAGAAGTGAAGGAGGAGAGAGAAGAACTGAGTGAAGTGAAGGAGGAAAGAGAAGAACTGAGTGAAGTGAAGGAGGAGAGAGAAGAACTGAGAGAAGTGAAGGAGGAGAGAGAAGAACTGAGAGAAGTGAAGGAGGAAAGAGAAGAACTGAGTGAAGTGAAGGAGGAGAGAGAAGAACTGAGAGAAGTGAAGGAGAGAGAACTGAGAGAAGTGAAGGAGGAGAGAGAAGAACTAAGAGAAGTGAAGGAGGAGAGAGAAGAACTGAGTGAAGTGAAGGAGGAGAGAGAAGAACTGAGAGAAGTGAAGGAGGAGAGAGAAGAACTGATGGACGTGGAGGAGGAGAGAGAAGAACTGAGTGAAGTGAAGGAGGAGAGAGAAGATCTGAGTGAAGAGAAGGTGGAACATCATGTCAAACCTGAAGAAAAACCTTTGAGTCGCTCAAAGACTAAAAAGACATATTTAAAGAAAACAAGAGCCAGAACAAGAGAGAAGCCTCAGAGAACAGAAGCTTCACATAAACATCAGAAAACTCACACTGGTGTGAAAGAGTACATGTGCTTTCAGTGTGAGAAGACTTTTGCAACAGGGAATGATTTAAACATACACCAGAAGATCCACACAGGAGAAAAACCTTACAAGTGTTCACACTGTGACAAGACATTCAGTCATTCATCATTTCTGAAAACACATGAGAGGGTCCACACTGGAGAAAAACCTTACAAGTGTTCACAGTGTGACAAGAGATTCAGTCAGTCAACAAATCTGAAAAAACATGAGATGATCCACACTGGAGAAAAACCTTACAAGTGTTCACACTGTGAAAAGAGATTCAGTGATTCATCAGCTCTGAAAACACATGAGAGGATCCACACTGGAGAAAAACCTTACAAGTGTTCACACTGTAACAAGAGATTCAGTCAGTCATCATATCTGAAAACACATGAGAGGATCCACACTGGAGAAAAACCTTACAAGTGTTCACACTGTGACAAGAGATTCAGTCTGTCAGCACACCTGAAAACACATGAGAAGATCCACACTGGAGAAAAACCTTACAAGTGTTCACACTGTGACAAGAGATTCAGTGATTCAGCAAATCTGAAAACACATGAGAGGGTCCACACTGGAGAAAAACCTTACAAGTGTTCACACTGTGACAAGACATTCAGTCATTCATCATTTCTGAAAACACATGAGAGGGTCCACACTGGAGAAAAACCTTACAAGTGTTCACAGTGTGACAAGAGATTCAGTCTGTCAACAAATCTGAAAAAACATGAGATGATCCACACTGGAGAAAAACCTTACAAGTGTTCACACTGTGACAAGAGATTCAGTCTGTCATCATTTCTGAAAACACATGAGAGGATCCACACTGGAGAAAAACCTTACAAGTGTTCACACTGTGACAAGAGATTCAGTCTGTCATCATTTCTGAAAACACATGAGAGGATCCACACTGGAGAAAAACCTTACAAGTGTTCACACTGTGACAAGAGATTCAGTCACTTAGCAAATCTGAAAACACATGAGAGGATCCACACTGGAGAAAAACCTTACAAGTGTTCACACCGTGACAAGAGATTCAGTGATTCATCAGCTCTGAAAACACAGGAGATGATCCACACTGGAGAAAAACCTTACAAGTGTTCACACTGTGACAAGAGATTCAGTCAGTCATCAGCTCTGAAAACACATGAGAGGATCCACACTGGAGAAAAACCTTACAAGTGTTCACACTGTGACAAAAGATTCAATCAGTCAATACATCTGAAAACACATGAGAAGATCCACACTGGAGAAAAACCGTACAAGTGTTCACACTGTGACAAGAGATTCAGTCAGTCAGCAACTCTGAAAACACATGAGAAGATCCACACTGGAGAAAAACCTTACAAGTGTTCACACTGCGACAAGAGATTCAGTCATATAACAAATCTGAAAACGCATGAGAAGATCCACACTGGAGAAAAACCTTACAAGTGTTCACACTGTGACAAGAGATTCAGTCAATCATCAAATCTCAAAACACATGAGAAGATCCACAGCAGAGAGAAGCTGGCAATACTGTAGTGTTATACATAATAGTACATGAGACAGTAAATCATCGCAGTTTCTGGGATGCACGTTCCTTCATAGATCAGACTAATGCGGCAAAGTTTGTAGTAAAAATTGTTTCTGTGTTTCTATTGTCTCTCTCTTGGGCTTGTGGCAACATTCCTTTGAGGTCGCAAAAGTCTGTTATTGGTGACATCGCCACTCAGGATTGGTCTGTTGCCTGATTACCAGGTGGCCAGTTTCTCTGTAGCTGGCTAAGCGACATTAAAGCATATTGAGTAAACACACATTTATAACACAATTAAAAGAAATAACTTGGTTCCTGTGTTTTTACCAACCATGTCATTTTTCAGATGCGTTTTGTTAATGAGAATGCTTTTCACTGCTGTAAACTTACATGTTTGAGCATAAACGATTAACTCTTTCATGCATGAATTATGATATCCTCAATCAGGATTTATGTGTTTTGGTTCTCAGGGCATGAAAAACGATATTTTAACTTTTTTGTTTACATGTATTTTTCATAAAGATTTTCAGTCCACTTGAGTGAATTGTATGCATTTAACAAACCAAATTATCATGCATTTTAATAACATTCATTCATTAATAATATGAGTGTTTTTTAATGTTTAATCTTCAGTGATATTGAACTTGCTAGCCAGCTACCTATTGAGTTGCGAGTCATCATCTTACCCAAACATTGGAGAATCAGTGCTCAACTAAGGCAGAGGTGGCATCTATTTAGGTGAACCGAAGAATGGTGTAATGATTCAGTTCGACTCCCAAGACAAAACAATGCTCGCCCGACTGGCTAATAGGAACGTGGCCCCGTCCGTGACACAATTTTCACAGCGGAAAGGACCATTGAACTCTCACAAATATCATAACATTGCAAGATATGAAGAAAACACATTATATAACCAATTTTCTCATCTCATGAAAGTAGAGGGACTTTACAGGCAATAGAAAGAAATTAACCCCCTTTGTATAGTCCACAACATCTTCAAATATATGCTGCTTGTTTCCAAAACCTTCTCTTATACCTCTTTTCTCTTTCTTCCAAATCACTGGTGGGTTTTTTTGCCCTCCTTCACCCTATTTCTCCATCTTTCCTTCTCTTTTCTCGGCAACTCAGGCTGGCTATCAATTTTTTTTAGCCTTCTTTCTTGATAGTCCCTATTCCTTCTCTTTCGTTCCTCCACTGATAGATTCTGCACAAGGCAGGCCCAGCTCAAAGGAGGAAGCTGGTAGTCAACGAGGTGCAAAGCACGAGGTGTATAAAGGCTATTTCCCAGGCTAAGCAGGGAGAGTGGATGAGATGGGAGAGTGTGGAACAACACAAGATGGGCTGGCAAGACCTTTGGTCAATGGAAGAGAGTAGGTTCAGTTTCCTTATCAGGTCAACATATTATGTGGGAGAGGATCCCTCTTGTCCTTTGTGTTCATCACCTGCCACATTAAGGCACATTTTGACAGGACGTAAGGTGGCTCTTAGCCAAGGTTGGTTTACTTGCTGCCATGACCAAGTACTGCAATGTTTCGCTTAGCATTGGAAGGCAAGTGTAGTAGGACCAACAAGTTGCCGCCTGTTCTAGCAAAACATTACACGCAGAAGACAATATTCCTCCACCCAGGTGAGAAATCACCAAAAAAAGGTGTTGAACACCAATTCTTGCCCAGGACAACTGGAAGATGCTGGCTGATCTTGATCAACGGCGTATTTTTCCATGTGAGATTGCTACCACTAACTTACGACCAGAAATATTGTTTTGTGGTCTGGTTCAGCTGATCCAGAGCTAACAGTGCCATGGGAGGATGCGGTAGATGATGCATGTGAGAGGAAGAAACTGCGGTATGCTCATCTGGCCACTGAAGCAGAACAGTGAGGATGGAGAGTCCAGGTTTATCCAGTGGAAGTGAGTTGTCAAGGTTTTGTGGCACACTCTACAACCCGGTTCCTCAGAGACGTCGGTTTCAATGGCCAAGAGTTGCGTCGCACAGTAAAGAACTTATCTGAAGCAGCTGAAAGAAGCAGCAACTGGCTGTGGTCAAGTCACATTTATTTATATAGAGCTTTTTAATCATACAGATTGTATCAAAGCAGCTTCACAGTGATAACATGAAAGTAATACAACACAGATCAATAATATTGTTGAATATTAAATGTCCCCAACTGAGCAACCCAAAAGCAAGGCAACAGTGGCAAGGAACCAAAACTCCATCAGGTGATTGAATGGAGAAACAAACCTTGGGAGAACCCAGGCTCAGTTGGGGGCCAGTTCTCCTCTGGCCAACAAAGGAACAGTGATTACAAAACAAATTGGATCAAAACATTAAAAGAATTGTCCATTTCCATCTGTTTGGAAGTCGAAGTAATCACGCCGGTTTGGAGATGAGATGTTGAGGATCACTGCCGATGACTGTCGTGTCGATGAGGCCGGCACTTAAGTATGAACAGAGACTATTTATATAGAGACATGTCACTTCCACAATCATTAATACAAATGTATAGGGAAAACCCGTAACACCAAAGATGGCGGTTGTATGCAAATGCCCCGCCCCTCTCACTGGACAGTCAATCATCTGCTTTTAATGGTCAAGCTGGGAAACATTTAAATACGTTACTGTTTGAAAAGGCGGCAGATTTGATATGCAGTGTATGTGTGCGTTGTGTAAATATCAGACATCCCAAGTCTCCCAGAAGTTCCGGGTGTCAGATTGATAGAGGCTCGTTGATGCCCGCAAATTAGTTAAAATATCTCGGAATCTAGAGCAGGGGTTCTCAACTCCAGTCCTCGCGACCCACTGCTCTGCATATTGATGTGATTCAAACTGTGCAGCGTGCGCGACAGAGCAAGAGAACCCTTGCGCATGCACAGTAAAAGTATAACCTGTGGGAAAACGGCGTTTTAAACCTTATTTTGGGGCAAAGTCATCAAACTTTTTCAGCGATTTTTATCATATTTTACTGTTGTTTCTATACATGCAGTTTTTATTTCCCGGTGACCAGTGAAAGTGCAGTTCTGACTCTCTGCCCATTCATTTAGATAGGAGCCTGGTCTTCTTAAGTCCAAAATAGCTGCCCAGAGGCGTTGCCAAGATGGCATGACTTGCCTGAAAGGACTTTGGTATGAGTCGGGTTGGGTCCAGGCACAGGTCCACCATAGAGGGTCCCTCGGGATAAACAGTGAAACTGATATTAGCGTAGACGCCATCCTTCTTTTGATGTACCAAGTACATCCGGATTTACGGGACGTGTTTCCGGTTCCGACTGATCTAATCCATGCAGCCTAATTTGAATTTAGGAAGTCTATAGTGTGTTATGAGTATGCTAGGACAAAGAGATGTGTTTTTAGTCTAGATTTGAACTGACAGAGTGTGTCTGCTTCCCGGACAATGTTAGGAAGATTGTTCCAGAGTTTTGGTGCTAAATCTACCACCAGCAGTCGATTTCGATATTCTAGGTATTATCAACTGGCCAGAGTTTTGAGATCGCAATAGACGTGAATGACTATAATGCGTTAAGAGCTTGCTCAAGTACTGCGGAGCAAACCATTTAGTACTTTAAAAGTAATCAGCAATATTTAAAAATGTATATGATGTTTAATAGGCAGCCAATGCAGGGTTGACAGAACCGAGCTAATATGGTCATACTTTCTGGTTCTGGTAAGAACTCGAGCGGCTGCGTTTTGGACTATCTGAAGTTTGTTTATTAAGCGTGCAGGACAACCACTCAGTAGAGCATTACAATAATCTAGCCTTGATGTTATGAACGCATGAATTAATTTTTCCACATTTGTCAATGAGTGCATATGGCGTAATTCAGATATATTTTTAAGATGGAAAATTGCGGTTCTACAGATACTAGACACATGACTTAAAAATGATAGATTAGTATCAAAGAGCACACCCAGGTTCCTTACCGACGATGAAGACTTAACAGAGGAACCATCAAGTGTCATAAAGTATTCTAGGCTGTTACGTGTGGAAGTTTTTTGTTTAATAATTAGAATCTCTGTTTTTTCAGAATAATACTTTCAGAGATAAGTATGATTTAAACCATGCTAATACAGTTCCACAAATGGCAACATAGTTTTCTAGTCTATTTAAAAGAATGTTGTGGTCAATTGTGTCAAATGCAGCACTAAGGCTATGTTTACACGGAAACGGTTCTGAAGAGAAAGATGGAAAGATGCGTTTTTGCCGTTTACACGGGAACATGGCGGTGGAGCGTTTTTAAGATTTCCACTCTGGAGGCTGGTTTCACTTTTTTGCGTTTTTGAGCCTCAAAAACGCTGTCGCCGTGTAAACGAAAGGCACATCCGATTAAATATTTTTACGTTTTCACCCGCGAGCGTTCTCGTGTAAACAGGGCCTAAGATCGAGTAACACTAATAGAGAAATACAACCACGATCAGACGATAAGAGCAGATCATTTGTGACTCTAATGAGAGCTGTCTCGGTACTATGATGGGGTCTAAATCCTGATTGATAGTCCTCGCAGATATAATTTCTGTCAAGAAAGGAACACAGTTGTGAGGATACTGCCTTTTACAGTAACTTTGACAGAAAAGGCAGAATCGAGATTGGCCTGTAATTAACTAATTCTGAAGGATCAAGTTGCGTTTTTTTAACAAGCGGTTTTATCATAGCTAGCTTAAAGGTTTTTGGTACGTATCCTAGCGACAAAGACGAATTAATGATATTAAGAAGAGGATCTGTGACCTCTGGAAGCATCTCTTTCAGGGTCTAGCATACAAGTTGTTGATTAAGATGAATTAACGAGTTTGCAAAATTCTTCCTCTCCTATAGCAGCAAATGAAACAAATCTTTCCTCAGACAACAATCCACTCTTTAATCTTATTTAAGCGCAACGGAGCAACTGCGTCTAAAGTGCTGGAAAAGAGAGAGTTAAAAGTTTCTGTCATGATATCGAGTTCTTCTAAGCTATCCGGAATGCTGAGATGTTGAAACTGATTAGGAAGATTATTGATAAAGCAATGTTTAGTGGCAGAGGTTATAGGTCTAACATATTTATAACACGGAGTCGGCTTTGGTGCTTTGAAGTTTACACAAGACTAGATAGTGATCTGAGATGTCATCGCTCTGCTGCAGAATTTCAGCGGCATCAACATCTATTCCATGTGATAATATTAGAGAGTATGATTACGACAATGAGTGGTAGGGCTGGGCGATAAAACGATAACGATATGTATCGTGCTAGACACGTGATCGATATCAAAAAAATGTGTTCGATAAAACGTTCGATATTTTTTTTCTTCGACGGAAGAAACCAGAGGTTGCATTAACAAAGGCACCCATTCTCTGGTAACCTAGCGACGTAGGGAGTGACACGCTAACAGGCAATCATCCCAGATAGCAAACTGACATTGAATCAACGTGGAAATATGACATCGAAACAACGTTGATCTGACATAGTTTTGCTCATCGAATTAACGTTGAACCAACGTCAGACGCGTCATTCTTTCAAAACTAACGGAAAATCAACTTGAAATCAACGCGTTGTTTCAACGTTATGAAAGCAAACCAATTTTCGATTTTTATTTAGCTTTGAAGAATGACGTTGGTTCAACGTTAATTCGAAGAGCAAAATCAACATTGTTTCAATGTCATGAGAGACGTCGTTTCCACGTTGATTCAATGTCAGTTTGCTGTCTGGGATGTAACAGTGTCCGTTTGGTTGCGCCATTTCGTCGTCTCGTGCTGCTGGATTCCTCTTCAGTAACCGGCGACTGAGATGCAGAACACGAGTGCCCTTCATTTGCATGCCATTCAGGCTAGAATTGTGAGACATTATTTGATAATTCGCTCTATTCGCGTTTGTATCGACCGATATGAAACATTGATATCGTGATAAAGTTTTTAGCCATACCCAGATAGCAAACTGACATTGAATCAACGTGGAAACGACGTCTCTCATGACATTGAAACAACGTTGATTTTGCTCATCGAATTAACGTTGAACCAACGTCAGACGCGGCATTCTTCAAAGCTAAATGAAAATCGAAAATTGGTTTGCTTTCATAACGTTGAAACAACGCGTTGATTTCAAGTTGATTTTCCGTTAGTTTTGAAAGAATGACGCATCTGACGTTGGTTCAACGTTAATTCGATGAGCAAAACAATGTCAGATCAACGTTGTTTCGATGTCATATTTCCACGTTAATTCAATGTCAGTTTGCTATCTGGGTATCGCCCAGCCCTTGAAAAATATTATGATAATATATTGCGTTAAAATAGTAAAATAAGGAATTGACGATTTTCAGATAGAAAATGTGACACTATATATTAACACTATAAAATGATAGACTGTATTTATCTGCATTTTTTAAACTGCAAATATTGTCTGTACAAACACTTAACTAAAAATCATCAACTAAATAAAGTAGTTAATAAACATCACATACAGTCACTGTCTGTTAAATAAAGCACCATGAATCATATCAATGTTTGTTTTTTGATCTTCTTCAGGACTGAAACACGGTCTATAAACACATTCACACTTCCTAAAATGTTCTTCACATCTGCTTTTAGTTATTATTTGAAACGTGTCTGAGTCAGCTTAATTAAAATTAAAATTAGATCTTTTTGTATAAACTTCTTTTCCAACTCTAATTAAAATTGGATAATAATCGCTGCCAATGAATCTTTTATTAAGTTCAGCTTATTTTATGATGCTGTATTTTACTAGACATCAGAGTAAAAATTACTTTCTTAATTTTAGCACTATTATCTAGAGTTCTCCCATGTGCCTCTAATTAAAACCATATAATTTAACTAAAATAAAATTGTAAAAAAAAAAAAAAGAAAATCAATAAGCGTCTCTTAATTTTATTAGTGATATTCTCAACAACACTGGACCACCATTTATTTTATTAATAAATATACACTAACCTTAGACCCATGATTATTTTTTATTGCTTCAGTTCTCGCGCTTCAGTTCACGGATATCTTGAAAGAGCGCCTGATTGTTTTAGTTTATTTTACAAAAGCACAACGTTTTCTTGTTATTGTGAGTTACACAAATACAATTAGTCGCGAATAATGTATTATTGTGTTCTGTATGACCAGAAATTATAGAGTAGCCTATTTTATGTTGTTTCCACTAGGAAAAGTGTCCGTGCCCACTCCCTGCCATCCGCTCCACACTCCGCACAAACACTGGGATATGCGTCAAAATCTTGTGTTTATTTGTGATAATCTTAGCCCTGTATTATGAATGACATGTGACGAATTACTTTGTTGCTTTTTTGGATAAAAACGTCTTCTGCATACAGCCTAATACATGTTATATTAATGATGATAATTATTATTATTATGCGGACACAGACCCCAATCACACCGCGTCTTCTAATTGTCAGGTGATTGTAAATGCGCAAAACCTGTTTCCATTTTCCCCCGCAATATTGCTTTTTCGAATTGCCTGAAAACCCTCATACGAGCATAACAACTTTTTTACGATAAACGAGAGTTTTTGCGAAATAGATGTGTTTCCATTGTGCGTGTTTCCAATTTGCAATTTCAATATTCGCAATTTGATGGGTAATGGAAATGCGGATAGGTGACACGTAAGAACTGAGCTGGACGAAGACATCAGAATGGCTATATAGATTAATTAACTGAAATAAATTTTTTACAACAGAAATGAATCAACACTGAAATTCCTTGGATTATGACACTATTTTGTTCTAGATCTGCAGAGACAAACTTTGTTGAATTATTTTACTATCCCTGTAAACTTGCTTTGAAAACATCTGTATTGTAAAAAGTACTATAGCCAAATATGACTAAGTGAGAATGTAGGCCTATTGTTGTTTTACAGTTGGATTGTATCACTTTGTTAGATTACATCATGGTTTGTGATTTAAATTGTTATTGGTGTAGTATCATACAGCATTTGTAAAATTTTCTGACCATGAGAATTGAAATATTTCTCCTATATACATGACCACACAACGATCTTTTGATATTTCAGAGGAAAAAAAAACTCATTTTATTTAAATGAATCATTTTTTTTTTCAGTCTATCATATAATTGTTGTGTATATGGACAATGAAAAAAAAATTTTGGTTAAAAATTATTTTCAATTAAATGATATGTTCAAATGCTCAAGCTTTTCCTTGTTTTTTGTTTCTTAAGCTGTTCAATTTATATTGTTAATCTTTTAACTCAACAAACCAAATGGATAAAGTTTTTAACTTTTGAAAAATCTATTAACAGTTAAAAGTAATATTGTCTTTTGTTAATAGGACAATTCATAATTCTTATCTTTTATAGTATACTATTTAATTATATATATATATATTATTATTTTATTTTTTTCTCTCATTTAAATCGTTTAAAAGTCTTTATAATAAAGTAAAAAAAAAAAAAAAAAAAAACATTAACATTCCAAAACATGGAAGTAGCGCAATGCCTTGCCGCGCCCACTTCCGGCAACAGACTGACGCTGTCGTCCCACACTGCTATGACGTCCCGCCCCCTAAACACACATCGCTAAACTGATTGGCTTTCTAACTTGTGAGAGGCTGTATTTACATTTTGGTTGGTTGGTTGTGCGAAGCGGCAAAACTCCTCTGAGGGAAACCTAGAGCGCGGTAAGCGACGGAGAAATCAACAGTTTCTGCTCAAGAATACGAGTCAAATATTTATTTGAGGACAGACGTTTTTACAATACTCTGGCGACCGCGGGATAAGTGGCACAGATAATCGTTAGTTAGTGTTTGTGTGTTCGTTTGTGTGTGTGTGTGTGAGAGAGAGAGAGAGAGAGAGAGAGAGAGAGAGAGAGAGAGAGAGAGAGAGAAGAAGAAGAAGAAGAAGAAGAAGAAGAAGAAGAGACGAGTGTGTAATGGCGAATTTAAGGAAAGTCTGCACCTCCTCGTTTGACCACGGCGTTCTTCCGAGTTGCCATAATAACAGTACAGTAGTAAGTTTAGTGATCTAGCCAAACTATTTAAAAATAGCGGGGTTATTCTACACCATTTGGCGCGTGTAATGATGACGCAGTGAATGGTGACGATTCTCTCTGACGAATCAGCAGTCGGCATTGTTTCACGTCACATTTTAGTATCTCCATAGCTCGCGCAGAAACTCGCGGAATGTGATACAAAAAAGTACCCGAAATCTTTTACACAGTGGAAAACAAAGGTGAGTCGAGCTGGTACTGTGTAGTGGAAAAGTGTGTGCGTGTGTGAGAGAGAGAGAAAGAGAAGAGAAGAGTGTGTTAGTGTGAGATAGATATAGTGTGTGTGTGTGTGTGTGTGTGTGTGTGTGTGTGTGTGTGTGTGTGTGTGTGTGTGTGTGTGTGTGAGAGAGAGAGGGAAGAGGAGAAGAAAAGAAGACAGAGTGTTAGTGTGTGTGTGTGAGAGAGTGTTTGCAACCCAACATTATAGGGTCAAAATATCCCCACAAAGATGACAATATCCAAAATCCTTGTTCTTGTGGGGAATTCTTTTTATTTTTTTATTTTTTTTATTTATTTATTTTTTTTGAAAGTGTAAAAATGCGGAAAGTTTTCTGTGCTTCATGAAACATGGTAAAGCTCAATATGGTTATTTAATGTACTTGCATTGAAATAAAACTGAAATTTTCTATGGTCATATGCGGCTGAAACAGGTAGCCTAGACTAGTGCATCCCAAATTTTTATATTACATTATAGTCATTATGTGCTTTAGAAAAAAATATTTTTTTCTTTTTGAGAAGGTGTGGCAGTGTACTATCGGCCCCGGTGGCGCGACAAAAGCTTTTGTCTTTAATGGATTTTTATTATTTTTTTTCCTTACATTACTTTTACTTTTTTCTTAAAGTAGTTTTGAAACCAATACTTTTATACTCACTTGAGTAAAAAGCTTGAGTTGATACTTCAACTTCTAAAGAAGTCTTTTTAAACCCTAGTATACTTTTACTTAAGTAATGAATGTGAATACGTTTGACACCTCTGATCATGTATCCTGACTCAAATATCGTGTGTCTAACAGCAAACACTCAGAATAAAGTGAGATGATCTGCTGAATGGCTTGTTGAATGAGTGTTGATAGTCTGAGGATCATCAGTATTAACAGATCCGCTGAAAACACTCTTTATTTCATGACAATAGTTCCTGTTTTCTCCTCTTTTATTATGCTGATGTGTTCTGATTGCCTGTAAATTGACACTTAACTTAGGCTATGTCATTAGTGTGAACAGTCTGTGAGAATTTGTTTGTTGCTGTAATGTAGCCTATGTTTATTTCTTTTTATGCCTTCAGTTTTTTCTTATCATTAATTATGTTTGGAATAATTTACATTATTTTAATCTGTTGTCCATGAGCATAAAACAAACTCAATAACTTCTTTTGATATTTTGGCAGATCACATCATCATTGAAGCTCCACCCACTGTAATTCATCATCAGTGAAGCTCCTCCCACTGCAATTATCTAATAAATGCTGTTCCATCAGCTACAAGTGAAAGAAGAACCACATGTACAAGTAAGAGAATCAGAGCATCAGGAAGAGCTGAAATCTGTAAAGATTGAGTTTATTAAAGAGGACAGTGAGAACACGAGTGATCCAGAACCCTGCAGAATGAAACACACTGAAGATCCTGACAAACAAAGAGGTTGGTGTCCGTTCATTCATTTATTCATGATGCTGAAGAACATTCATGTTAGAAACATTCAAGCACTTCATCAGTTTTAGATAAACAGGTAAACTATGAAATGGCTGCAAAAGTTTTTTTTTCTTCTTCAAACAAATGGTCAGTAAAGTCCACTCTAAAAAATGCAGGGTTAAAAAATAACCCAACCTGAACTACGCCGCTGGGTCACTATTGGACAGAACACGCGCTGGGTTGGTTTGACCCAAGTGCTAGGTTTCTCCATTTAACCCATATTGTTGGGTCATTAATAGTCTTACTCATGTGCTGGGTTATTTCCTGTCTCATCATTGCCTTATTAAAATTAATAACAAATATCAAGCAAGTCTAAACAACTAAGCAAGGCAACAGTGGCAAGGAACCAAAACTCCATCAGGTGATTGAATGGAGAGAAATATTGCATTTCTGTTAACAGATCCTCCTAAATATTACACAATGCACCTTTAAAAGTCATTAAGCAACTCATTTGAACTCTTATACAATTATGATTTCATTGAATTATTAAGAATAGCAACAAACATTTAAATGCATCTAAATATCACAGGGTTTTCTCCAAATTTGACAGAGCATGACTCTTTTCCATTAATTTGATGCACTGCTTTGTGTATTTAACATGAAAAACAAAATAAGAATTTGAAACAAAGATCACCAGCCTCCAGCAAAGACTCGGTCTCGGTGGCGTGGCCTGGAACAATGGCAAAGGTCTGACGTGTCCCCCTCGTCGCATCCCTGATGCTCCAATCATTTTGTAAATATTCATCCCCACCTTTTGATTACACACAATCACTTAGAGTGTTGCAATATAACTGACATGCATGTTAAACTTTTTTTGTGAAAGTATTTATATTTTTTTATCACAAACATTACCAAATATGGCCAAAATGTCTATTACACATCTAAAGAGACATTTAGCAGTCTAAACTAGTCTGGGATTGAGGATAAGACAAAAACATGATTTGGAAAATGGATTCACGATGCACTTGCTCATTATAAACATTTTGTAAATTTTGAACACAAAAAAGTTATGGACTGCAGCTCAATAAATTAACAAAAATCTATTTAAAAAAATGCAATTTTATGTTGAAAAATATTCCAAACCTAAATTACTTTCATAGTTATCAAGCATATCAAACGTCTACCCTTATTAAAGTAGAAACTCTAAAGCAAAAATTACAGGTTGCATGTGAAGGACCTCTGTGCCTCTGTGGTGGGTCTGAAGCCCTCTCCTCCTCTCCTGTAAGATGGATGGGGGAAGCAGAGTTTGCAGGACCTTCAAAGTCAAAGTCTCCCCTTTCAACATGACATCATGACTTTTGCGTAAACATATGCGCCACTTTCGAGTCAGGTGGCGTGTTATCTCCACGCATTTTGAGCTATCCGCGTGTATGCGTATATGTCTACGCCATTAACGTCCGCGTCATTCCGCGTGTCCGAACACGCAGTCAAATCTCCAGTCATAAATGCCATTAACCCCAGTGACGGTTAAGTTTAGGGATGGGGTTGAGGTAAGTCATATCTTTTTTTTACCTAGGATGGTAAGGGAACAGTCATAAATGCCATTAACCCCAGTGACGGTTAGGTTTAGGGACGGGGTTGAGGTAAGTCATATATTTATATAACGTTAAGTGAACGGCGTTCATAAACACGCTGAAAGGCGATTATGCGTCTTGATAGCACGCCAAAAATGGAAATATGAATTGGCGTGTCATACACCCGCTACTTCATGAGATCAGTCTGCCCCTTTAGCAGCTAAACAATATGAGCATAATAATAAATAAAGTTTGATTAACATTTAAATAGTATGCTGTAAATAACAATTCATATTTCTAAAGTAGCATTTCTGACTTTTCTGCCCTGGTGTTTAAAATGGTGCTGTTGTGAAAATAGCAAAAATTATTATTTGGCCTCAAACATCGCACACACTTGGTCCATAACCACTGCCTTAATACTAAATTATTCTTAGTAGGTCTACCTCAGGTCTTAACAACTTGTAATGGGTTCAGGGCGAGAACATGCATGAAATCGATTTATTTCTCCTTGCCTCAGTTGCCGTTTGTAAGATTGCACGTCATACAATTATTATTATTATTTTTTCTTTTTTTTGCAAAAATGATCCTGTTTCCGACATAGACATTACAGAAGAAACACACAGACTGTGCTGGAACTTACCCCCGTCACTCACTTCTTCTAATGAGAATTTCTTAAATGTGCCTGGAGACTTTCCACACACAACTCACTAGACTTTTTTTCCCCGCAGTTTTTACGTGCGAGAACTAGGGACTAAAACAGCTTACTGCGCGTGTACGGGTTCATTCAAAACGCTTTTCCTCACTTTTAATTACCAAACGTCCACAATAAATACAATATTTACGTGATGAAATTACAAATTAAACTGCTGATATAGCTGGTTTACAACTAACGTGCCATTTATGTTATGTTTATGTTGGCAACACTCGTGTATAACACACAACACATCCTGCAACCTGCTGATCCAGCCAGAGTCGGGCAGAGAGAACCAGTTATCCGCAAGTGAGATAATCGGTGAAGTGTGTTCATGGTGAGTTGGTTACGAGACATATATTTCTTGAATAACAATTAAAAGAACATCACCATAACTCAAATAAGCATGACAAAATTTGTGACTATCTTGACCAGTTTTGCTGCAGTTAAATAAGCCGAGAGTGAAGCGAAATTAGCTAGTAATAATTACGTTACATTGTTACAGTGTAGTTGACTGACTGTCCTTTTAACTTTTGACAATGTGATTGAAGTATTTCTTTAATGCGTGACAGTTATAGCAATGAGACGTATCATCTCTCCTTGGCCTGTTATATAGACCATTTCACAAGATGTAAACAACACTGGTCCAGAAGCGCTTCCTGTTTCAGTTTTTTAACACTACATAAAAGCTGGGATAAAATACAACCAACAGAACATTTAAAACTGAATCAAAAAGTTAAACAAACACTCTACACAGTTTGAACATACATATTTACGTAGCCTTTCGAAAACCGGGACGCTTTAATTTCCCAGGACAGGTTATTAAAAAGGACAATCTCGGTAAAACCAGGACAGGTGGCAACCCATACTCTGCTAGACTCCTACTGTTTGTGGTTTGACTATGGAGAACGACTGTGAGACTGAGGAGGTGGGAAACCATCAAATTCTTGATGGACCACAGCCCTACAATTTTGAACCAAACAGGCGTGAGAGAGGGGAGGAACGGGGTGGAACGGTACATGAATTCGTATTGTACCGAAATGGTACGGGCGTCACGTTTTGGTGCATGCATTTACAAGACGTCATACAACTGATGCTTTTGACCATACATCAACATCCGACGTTTTAGGGTACCCTTTAACGTCAGTTAGATGACGCTATCTAATCCTAACCCTACCCCAGACCTAAACCTGCCCGCGTCATCTAACTGACGTTAAAGGTAAAGCGTCAGATGGATGACGCCCCAGGATTGTCATCTAACTGACGTTAAAGGGTACCCTAAAACGTTGGATGTTGACATGGTCAAAAGCGTCAGTTAGTTGACATCTTGGGATGAGATTGTGTTACATTTACACTGAGAATAACTGTTTTACGGTATAAAAATAAATAAAACTCCTGAGCAAATTAATCAGGCACGAGAGAGAGGAGGAAATTGCCAGAAATCATGGTCCACAAGTAGGGATGGAACGGTACATGTATTCGTATTGAACTGCAACGGTATGGGCGTCACGGTTCGGTGCATGCATTTACACTGAGAATAACTGTTATACGATATAAAAACAAATAAAACTCCTGAGAAAATTGATTATTGTAATTCGGAACTACTGTTAGAAACGCGGGTTCTTTAGGAACACATAGGGCCAATCCCAATTCTACCCCTTACCCCTTCACTTTCCCCTAGCCCTACCCCTTCGCCTTCCCCTTGACCCTTGAAACAGAGTGGCAATGTGTAGGGGTGAAAATATTTCCCTAAGAAATGGGACACCACTACGCCTCAGTTAAACGTCATTATAAAAGTCGTCGCTAGCGCCTACGTCACAGGAGATGTCACAGGAGATGCGCCGATGTAAGGTAAAATAAAGCCAATTCCCTTCAGCAATTACATTCATCAGTTGCCAGACATGAAATGAATACTTACATTTATGGGTCTCCTTTTTCTCTTGGGCAGCCATTTTGCGTCTGTAGCCTGGGTTAGCAGTGACACTTCTCATACCCCTTCGTTTGAAGTGTGCTCCCGAACAATCTTCGTTTGAAGGGTTATCTGGCCCTTCCCCCTAGCCCTCCCCCTCCAACCAAAAGAGAATTGGAACAGCCCTACCCCTTCACGCGGACGCGCAAAACGGAGGGGAAGGGGAAAGTGAAGGGGTAGAATTGGGATTGGCCCTAAATCTGTAGCTCCGCCTATGCAGTTTTTTGTCAGGTCAACGTCCCAGTGAGTGAGTCAGAGAAAGCAGCACTCAGGACGAGTATGGCGAGTTGTGGCAACCCACAAGAGTTAGAGGACCCGCCAGCCTCTTTAAGTTCGCAAGTTTGGGAAAACTTCAGTTTCCAAGTCGGTTCCAATTAAATCAAACTAAATTAAATCAACAAACTTCAAAATTAGGTTACTCACTTGCGCGCGCAAATCTAAAAAATTAATCTAAAAACATTTCTATATAATTGCTAGTTGACTGCCGTTAGACTAACGGTAACTCTAGGCTTGGTGTCCCTTTTATGACGTCACGCCCAGCCTAGTGGAAGGGAGGAGAGTAAAAAGTACCAACTTTTCATATTATACCTAGTCTCAGCCTCAGACGTCACGCCCACGGAACGTTGGCTAAACGTCTGATGCATATGGTACACTTAACTGGAAACACTTCAGGAATGTCGAAGTCGTCATCTGATTGGTTGAATTTTATCGGATTTCCAGTGTCGCGTTTATTTTCGGTTAGCCGGGAAACAAAGCGCAGACGTGTGATTGCGAAAGAAAAACTGTTGTGTTTATATGAGTGACCTATGTGAGTGACAATGAGCATTAATCAAGATCAGCTAAACGTAGTTGTATGTCCCCTCCTATCTATTATGGAAGATCAAGTGAAGTACTTAATTGCGAAGGGGATATCAGCTAGGGGTGGCACGGTACATGAAAAAACACCCGAACCGTTCGGTTCGCTTGTCTCGGTTCGGAGCACGTGTGCGTCTCACGGTTCGACGCATGCGCAATGTAACCTCGTGCCCGTATGTGACGTGTGTTTTCTTTTCGCGCGACATAAACTTGTTCGACTTGGACCGGCGCTGCACAGAGCAATCGGTGAATAACATCAATCTAGCGCGAGTCGGCTCCGTATGCATTCATCACTTTCACGGTATTTGATGTCGCTCTGTGCAGCGCCGGTTCAAGTTAATAAACAAGCCAGTAAAAGTGGAGTATGGAGCGCTGCAGGTCACGGCACGCGGAGAAATGGCAAGTGAGAGAGATGAGGGAGTTGGAGGATGCGCCAGCGTCGTATAAGTCTATGGTATAAGTCCGGTGTGTGGGAACATTTTGGATTTCATGTTATGATATTTTAATATAACGCTACAGTGGCACTTTATGTATAGATAAGAGCTTCAGTCATACGTTTCCAAACCCTGCACTTTAATTTTAAGTGGAAAAAAGTACCCTCACGTTTTGGGAATAGAAGCATTGTTGATACTGTTTTTGTGTTGAGGTTGAACTTAAATTTCACTTTATGTTTATGGCCTTTGCTATTGCTATAGCTTAATTATCTATAGGCAATGAGGTTTCATGTATATTGACATTTAAAAGACAGTGTTTTAAGAGTTCCTCTCTTTTTCTTTTAAAAGATAGAATTTTGGTAAGAGCTACAAAAGTCAGCAGTTGATACATGAAAGTTAATTTCTTTGTGTAAATAAGATTTATGTGATAAAAATGCACAAGTTCTTGTAGAGATAGTGATACACATTCTCCTTTTTTTTTGCCAAATAAACAAAAAGCATGTCAATTTCTTCTCTCTTGCTGTATCTAAATCTCACCTAGCTTTCCTCTGAGATAGTCCCAAAATGTGCTTAAAGTCAAAGAGTCAAATTCAGTTTGTGCATGAATATAATATATATATATATATTTTTAATACTGTATCCTAAAGTGTGGATAATTAAGCTATATATCACATGCTGAAGTACATTTCTGGAGTGTTAAAGATTAAAAGAAAAAATAACAAGAACCGTACAGAACCGAAAACCGTGACCCTAAAACCGTGATACAAACCGAACCGTGGGTTTTGTGAACCGTGCCACCCCTAATATCAGCCGCATTTGTGGGCAAACATGAAACAACAGACGCTGACATCACAGCTGGCCGATTCAGTATTCATATATAGGGCGCACACTGGATTATAAGGCGCATAAGATATTGCAGAGTCAAACGTTTGACTGGGTTTGCATTATGCATCCACTAGATGTGCTAAACTAAAGGCTAAAGGGAATGTAGCGAGTGCGCGTCTTCAGCGAAGGTCTGGCTACGCGAGACTATATTATACCCAGCATTTTGGTATTAATAAAAACATGGCGGTTCTTCTCATTGTTTAGTAAGTACATTGTATTATCTTTGTGAAAAATGTAACCTGCAATTTACACTTTAATAGTTCTCACTATTGCAGAAACATGGGATTTTTGCCTATAAGATTTTTCAACATAATAACTGCAAGATCAGTGTACCTCATTCATGGGAAGTTTCAGGGATGTATAATTCTTTTATAAAAATACATAAATTCTTGTAGTATTTTATAGCAGTTGTCCGTTACTTCTGGGGTAATTTATCTCCATTCATATTTTTCTCTTTGAATTATATAGATTATTTAGAACATTTGAAAATTCTTTTTTTTTTCATTTCAGACCTGATGAAAGTGAAGGAGAGAGAAGAACTGGTGGAAGTGAAAGAGGAGAGAGAAGAACTGAGAGAAGTGAAAGAGGAGAGAGAAGAACTGAGAGAAGTGAAGGAGGAGAGAGAAGAACTGAGAGAAGTGAAAGAGGAGAGAGAAGAACTGAGAGAAGTGAAGGAGGAGAGAGAGGAACTAAGAGAAGTGAAGGAGGAGAGAGAAGAACTGAGTGAAGTGGAGGAGGAACATCATGTCAAACCTGGAGAAAAACCTTTGAGTCGCTCAAAGACTAAAAAGACATATTTAAAGAAAACAAGAGCCAGAACAAGAGAGAAGCCTCAGAGAACAGAAGCTTCACATAGACATCAGAAAACTCACACTGGTGTGAAAGAGTACATGTGCTTTGAGTGTGAGAAGACTTTTGCAACAGGGAATGATTTAAACATACACCAGAAGATCCACACAGGAGAAAAACCTTACAAGTGTTCACACTGTGACAAGAGATTCAGAGATTCATCAGCTCTGAAAACACATGAGAGGATCCACACTGGAGAAAAACCCTACAAGTGTTCACAGTGTGACAACAGATTCAGTCAGTCAACAAATCTGAAAACGCATGAGAAGATCCACACTGGAGAAAAACCTTACAAGTGTTCACACTGTGACAAGAGATTCAGAGATTCATCAGCTCTGAAAACACATGAGAGGATCCACACTGGAGAAAAACCCTACAAGTGTTCACACTGTGACAACAGATTCAGTCAGTCAGCAAATCTGAAAACGCATGAGAAGATCCACACTGGAGAAAAACCTTACAAGTGTTCACACTGTGACAAGAGATTCAGTCATTCATCAGCTCTGAAAACACATGAGAGGATCCACACTGGAGAAAAACCTTACAAGTGTTCACACTGTGACAAGAGATTCAGTCATTCATCAGCTCTGAAAACACATGAGAGGATCCACACTGGAGAAAAACCTTACAAGTGTTCACACTGTGACAAGAGATTCAGTCTGTCAGGAAATCTGAAAACACATGAGAAGATCCACACTGGAGAAAAACCTTACAAGTGTTCACACTGTGACAAGAGATTCAGTCTGTCAGGAAATCTGAAAACACATGAGATGATCCACACTGGAGAAAAACCTTACAAGTGTTCACACTGTGACAAGACATTCAGTCAGTCATCATCTCTGAAATCACATGAGAAGATCCACACTGGAGAAAAACCTTAGAAGTGTTCTCATTATGACAAGAGATTCAGTCTGTCAGGAAATCTGAAAACACATGAGAAGGTCCACACTGGAGAAAAACCTTACAAGTGTTCACACTGTGACAAGAGATTCAGTATGTCAGGAAATCTGAAAACGCATGAGAAGATCCACAGCAGAGAGAAGCTGGCAATACTGTAGTGTTAAACATAATAGTACACGAGACAGTAAATCATCGCAGTTTCTGGGATGCACGTTCCTTCATAGATCAGACTAATGCGGCAAAGTTTGTATTAAAATTTGTTTCTGTGTTTCTATTGTCTCTCTCTTGGGGATGTGGCCACATTCCTTTGAGGTCGCAAAAGTCTGTTATTGGTGACATCGCCACTCAGGATTGGTTTGTTGCCTGATTACCAGGTGGCCAGTTTCTCTGTAGCTGGCTAAGCGACATAAAAGCATATTGAGTAAACACACATTTATAACACAATTAAAAGAAATAACTTGGTTCCTGTGATTACCAACCATGTCATTTTTCAGATGCGTTTTGTTAATGAGAATGCTTTTCACTGCTGTAAACTTACGTTTGAGCATAAACGATTAACTCTTTCATGCATGAATTATGATATCCTCAATCGGGGTTTTTGTTCTCAGAGCATGAAAAACAATATTTTAACTTTTTTGTTTACATTTATTTTTCATAAATATTCTCAGTCCACTTGAGTGAATTGTATGCATTTAACAAACCAATTTAACATGCATTTTAATAAACATTCATTCGTTAATATGAGTGCTATTTTTTAATGTTTAATCTTCAGTGATGTTGAACTTGCTAGCCAGCTACCTATTGAGTTGCGAGTCATCATCTTACCCAAACATTGGAGTGTCAGTGCTCAACTAAGGCAGAGGCGGCATCTATTTTGGTAAACCGAAGAATGGTGTAATGCAGGGTGCCCAACCCTGCTCCTGCCAATCGACTGTCCTGCACAGTTCATCTCCAACCCTAATTAAACATGCCTGCCTTTAATTTCAAAGTGACCCTGAAGACCTTAATTGGTTGCTTCAGGTGTGTTTGATTAGGGTTGAAGATAAACTGTGCAGGACAGCCGATCGGCAGGAGCAGGGTTGGGCACACCTGGTGTAATGATTCAGTTTGACTCCCAAGACAAGACGATGCTCGCCCAACTGGCTAATAGGAATGTGGCCCCGTCCATGACACAATTTTCACAGCGGAAAGGACCATTGAACTAACATTGCAAGATATGAAGAAAACACATTATATAACCAATTTTCTCATCTCATGAAAGTAGAGGGACTTTACAGGCAATAGAAAAAAGAAATGAACCCCCTTTGTATAGTCCACAACATCTTCAAATATATGCTGCTTGTTTCCAAAACCTTCTCTTATACCTCTTTTCTCTTTCTTCCAAATCACTGGTGGGTTTTTTTGCCCTCCTTCACCCTATTTCTCCATCTTTCCTTCTCTTTTCTCAGCAACTCTTCTTTCAGCTCAGGCTGGCTATCAATTTTAGCCTTCTTTCTTGATAGTCCCTATTCCTTCTCTTTCGTTCCTCGACTGATAGATTCTGCACAAGGCAGGCCCAGCTCAAAGGAGGAAGCTGGTAGTCAACGAGGTACGATAGCAGGAGGAGAGGATGAGGTGTATAAAGGCCATTTCCCAGGCTAAGCAGGGAGAGTGGATGAGATGGGAGAGTGTGGAACAACACAAGATGGGCTGACAAGACCTTTGGTCAATGGAAGAGAGTAGGATCAGTTTCCTTATCAGGTCAACATATTATGAGGATCCCTCTTGTCCTTTGTGTTCATCACCTGCCACATTAAGGCACATTTTGACAGAACGTAAGGTGGCTCTTAGCCAAGGTTGGTTTACTTGGTGCCACGACCAAGTACTGCAATGTTTGGCTTAGCATTGGAAGGCAAGTGTAGTATGACCAATAAGTTGCCGCCTGTTCTAGCAAAACATTACACGCAGAAGACAATATTCCTCCGCCCAGGTGAGCAATCGCCAAGAAAAGGTGTTGAACACCAATTCTTGCCCAGGACAACTGGAAGATGCTGGCTGATTGATCAACAGCTTATTTTTCCACCTGAGATTGCTACCACTAACCTACAACCAGAAATATTGTTTTGTGGTCTGGTTCAGCTGATCCAGAGCTAACAGTGCCATGGGAGGATGCGGTAGATGATGCATGTGAGAGGAAAAAACTGCGGTATGCTCATCTGGCCACTGAAGCAGAACAGCGAGCATGGAGAGTCCAGGTTTATCCAGTGGAAGTGAGTTGTCAAGGTTTTGTGGCACACTCTACAACCCGGTTCCTCAGAGACGTCGGATTCAATGGCCAAGAGTTGCGTCGCACAGTAAAGAACTTATCTGAAGCGGCAGAAAGGAGCAACAACTGGCTGTGGTCAAGTCAAGTCACATTTATTTATATAGCGCTTTTTACAATACAGATTGTATCAAAGCAGCTTCACAGTGATAACATGAAAGTATTGCAACACAGATCAATAGTATTGTTTAATATTAAATGTCCCCAACTAAGCAAGCCAAAAGCAAGGCAACAGTGGCAAGGAACCAAAACTCCATCAGGTGATTGAATGGAGAAACAAACCTTGGGAGAACCCAGGCTCAGTCGGGGCCAGTTCTCCTCTGGCCAACAAAGGAACAGTGATTACAAAACCAATTGGATCGAAACATTAAAAGAATTGTCCATTTCCATCTGTTTGGAAGTCGAAGTAATCAGGCCTGTTTGGAGACGAGATGTTGAGGATCACTGCCGATGACTGTCGTCTCGATGAGGCCGGCACTTAAGTATGAGTCGGGATGGGTCCAGGCTCAGGTCCACCATTGAGGGTCCCTCGGGATAAACAGAGAAACTGATATTATCGTAGACGCCATCCTTCTTTTGATGTACCAAGTACATCAGGATTTACGGGACGTGTTCCCGGTTCCGGCTGATCTAAACTATGCAGCCTAATTTAAATTTAGGAAGTCTATGCTAGGCCAAAGATATGTGTTTTTAGTCGAGATTTGAACTGACAGAGTGTGTCTGCTTCCCGGACAATGTAAGGAAGATTGTTCCAGAGTTTTGGTGCTAAATAGGAAAAGGATCTACCACCAGCAGTCGATTTTGATATTCTAGGTATTATCAACTGGCCAGAGTTTTGAGATCGCAATAGACGTGAAGGACTATAATGCGTCAAGAGCTTGCTCAAGTACTGCGGAGCTAAACCATTTAGTGCTTTATGTGTAATCAGCAATATTTTAAAATTTATACGATGTGTAATAGGCCACCAATGCAGGGTTGACAGAACTGGGCTAATATGGTCATACCTTCTGGTTCTGGTAAGAACTCGAGCGGCTGCGTTTTGGACTATCTGAAGTTTGTTTATTAAGCGTGCAGGGCAACCACCCAGTAGAGCATTACAATAATCTAGCCTTGATGTTATGAATGCATTAACTAATTTTCCTGCATTTGTCAATGAGAGCTTATGGTGTAATTTAGATATATTTTAAGATGGAAAAATGCGGTTCTACAGATACACATGACTTTCAAATGAGAGATTAGTATTAAAGAGCACACTTCTTAACCGACGACGAAGACTTAACAGAGCAGCCATCAAGTGTCAGACAGTATTCTAGGCTGTTACGTGTGGAAGTTTTTTGTCCAATAATTAGAATCTCTGTTTTTTTTTTTCAGAATTTAGTAGTACACTAAAAAATAAAATCGTAAAAAAGGGTCAATTGACTGGCAGCAAAGGGTGCCAAACAAATACCGTTAAAATAAAGTAAAATATCCTAATTTACATTAAGCACAAAAAACATTTTACAGATTTTTTCTTAAATGTTTTACAGAAAAACACTGTTATTTTACAGCTATTATCTGGATTATTACGATCAAACACTCTAACTGTAAAAACAATGCATTATTATGATCAAATACATAAATTAAAAAAAAATCATAAAAAACAATAGTCACATTTATTTATATAGCGCTTTTCACAATACAGATTAACAGACAATAGTAAAAAACAGTCAATGACTTTCAGTAATGGCTGCCATACAAAAAAAACAAAAAACATAAAATTAATGTAAAATAGCCTAATTTAAATAAGTGCAAAAGTAGAAATCCTCATTAAAGTCCCCGTGAAATCAAAATTGAACCTATTTATTTTGTTAGCGCATATTACTAGTCTTGTGCAGAGGTGGAAGTAACGAATTACAACTACTCAGATTACTGTAATTAAGTAGTTTTTTTGTGTACTTTTATGAGTACATTTTTTAGTCTGTAATTTTTCTTGTACTTGAGTACAAATTAAGTTAAGTAATGTACTTCACTACTTTAAAAATGCCATTAATTACAAAGTACTTGTACAATTTGAATTCAACAATTATTCAAATCTTTGACCAGCATTCGTCGAACTTTGAGGCAGATGGGCTACAGCAGCAGAAGACCACACCGGGTGCCACTCCTTTCAGCTAAGAACAGGAAACTGAGGCTACAATTTGCACAAGCTCATCGAAATTGGACAATAGAAGATTGGAAAAACGTTGCCTGGTCTGATGAGTCTCGATTTCTGCTGCGACATTCGGATGGTAGGGTCAGAATTTGGCGTCTACAACATGAAAGCATGGATCCATCCTGCCTTGTATCAACGGTTCAGGCTGGTGGTGGTGGTGTCATGGTGTGGGGAATATTTTCTTGGCACTCTTTGGGCCCCTTGGTACCAATTGAGCATCGTTGCAACACCACAGCCTACCTGAGTATTGTTGCTGACCATGTTCATCCCTTTATGACCACAATGTACCCAACTTCTGATGGCTACTTTCAGCAGGATAATGCGCCATGTCATAAAGCTGGAATCCTCTCAGACTGGTTTCTTGAACATGACAATGAGTTCGCTGTACTCAAATGGCCTCCACAGTCACCAGATCTCAATTCAATAGAGCATCTTTGGGATGTGGTGGAACGGGAGATTCGGGGAGAACGGGAGACATCATGGATGTGCAGCCGACAAATCTGCGGCAACTGTGTGATGCCATCATGTCAATATGGACCAAACTCCCTGAGGAATGCTTCCAGCACCTTGTTGAATCTATGCCACGAAGAATTGAGGCAGTTCTGAAGGCAAAAGGGGGTCCAACCCGTTACTAGCATGGGGTACCTAATAAAGTGGCCGGTGAGTGTATATATATATATATATATATATATATATATATATATATATATATATATATATAACTAGTGTTTCTTTACCTACAGTCCAACAACATTAGTTTGTCTTTGTCTTCTATGAGGCAAGAAGTTGCTGGGAGAGGAAGCCGTGAAAAAGCAGAAATCAGGAGACGAAGTGAGTAAAAATGTTCTGTTTATTGAGAAATCTTCGGTTTCAATGCGCAATTCGTTTAATCTATACAACACAAATTCATAAAGTGTCAATCAAACTGATCACATCATCTCGTAAAAACCTTGAAATAGATTATCTTATCTTTCAAGTATTTCATGAACCCATACTATCATATATACCATATATATCACATATCGATATTGCAAAGAAAATAAGTGTATATTTGAATGACTTTAATGATTAAATGATTATAATGGAAAAACACACAAAAACATAAAAGCATAAAGAAAATGTAAAAACAATTGAGTAAAACATGAACTGTTACCTGATTTATAACAGGGTGGTTCCCTATATTAGTACAGGACATGTGCAAGTCAAGAAGTTTTCAAATGGGAAACACA